ACAGCTGGCTACCCCTTCTTAATTTTGAGCACATTTAAATCCCCCCCACAAAAGTCACAATGACTGCTTCTTGTGGGGGAGGACGAGAAGACAGATTATGAAGTCTCTGTGCACTCATGACTTGTTAATATGTGATACACAAAATGAAACAACAAAAAGATTTATAAGGCTTTCTTAAAATCATATTCAATGTGAATGAGAATCTTGATAATGTGTGTTTTATTATTATTATCATTATTTATTTATTTATTTTATTTTGACTAGTGGGGGAGAGTGAAATGAAGTTTCAGTGGTTTGTCCGAATAGCCCCGTGCTATGAGGCTGACGGTGCTGAGCACGGAGCTGAGCGCGAACCTGAGCGGGTCGGTTACCTGATGGAACGTGTTTTTTTTTTTGTTTGAAGTTATGGTTTTTCTGATACAGCCGTTATTTACATCCCCGTAGGTCACCCCCGGGTCAAACTGTAATTGGGCCACACATCAAATTGGACATTTTGTCTTANTTTCTGATACAGCCGTTATTTACATCCCCGTAGGTCACCCCCGGGTCAAACTGTAATTGGGCCACACATCAAATTGGACATTTTGTCTTACAGTATATAACATGTTTTTTTTTGTTTGAAGTTTGTTTTTTCTGATACAGTCGTTATTTACACCCCGGTAGGTCATCCCGGGTCGAGCGTATTGTCTGCACATAAGTACAAATATGAGTTAAAAGAAAAACACCACGACATACATCAAATAGACATAATTAAGAAAATAAGATAATCCGCGGTATCCTAAAACTTCACAGGCTGTATATTTCTCATTAAATAAAAGTTAAAAACCAGCCGCAGATATTTTTATTACACTGAGCGGTCACCGTACGGGTTTTCCTCCTTTGATAAAGAAACACAAGTACCCCACTGGAAAAAGAATAAAAAAAAGAAAACTACACGGGACTTCCATAGACTGAGTATATTATTTCTTTTATACATGTTTTATGATAAACGCTATACATTAAAATAACTTATTCTAATAATAGGTATTCTCTGTTTATTTCCTATGAGAGACGGCGCGGACCGGTCAAGAGAAAATCTACGAAAGACCTGAATCAGCAGGTATGGACGGAGCAACACCCCCTCCTATACCCGAAGCCTTATTTGATGAAATAGACATCAACAACGCTAATAATGAAAATGATGCGGTTTATCAAAACTACCTCGCTCAACACGACTCGCCACCCGCAATGTCTACTGAAGCGAGGGTCAAAGACCCCTGTTTCCTACTGTCCTTAGAGACATTATTAACCTTCCTGTGCTGTTAGGGTCGGCACAGACCTGTTTTTAAGTTTAAAAATGCATAAAAGCAGCACATATATTTATGTACACTCTTAAAACAAAAGGCTCCATATTGAACCTTAAGGGTTCTATAGCTTGGTACATATATGACACCCTCAAAGGTTCTATATAGAACCATTATAGAGGGTTCAATTAAAAGAAATAGCATCTTTTTGAAGGCAATGAATATATTTCCTCAGGTTAGAACCCCTATAGTTCTATATAGCACCACCCAAGAACCCTTTTTTCTAAATATATACTGCATCAAAGCTTGGATTAAAGTGCGCACTATGAAGTACATTACGAGGGACTGAGTATGCCCTTTCCAGTGCGCACTTCGTAGGGCGCACTTCGTAGGGCGCACTTCGTAGGGCGCACTTGAAAGGACAGAGTATGCCCTTTCCAGTGTGCACGTCGTAGTGCACACATCGTAGTGCACATTACGTAGTGTACACTTTGTTGTGTGCACTCGATAGGGCATACTCAGTAGGGTTACAGTTGAATTAGAGTGCGCACTATGAAGTACACTACGAGGGACTGAGTATGCCCTGTCAAGTGCACACAACTGGAAAGGACTGAGTATGCCCTTTCCAGTGCACACTTTGTAGTGTGCACTTCATAGTGTACACTTCGTAGTGCATACTTCGTAGTGTGTGCACTTGATAAGGCATACTCAGTAGGGTTACAGTTGGATTACAGTTATCATTAGACTTAGGCTTAGCGTGTTTACATAAGCACTGAGGGTGTGTTTAGGATTAGAGTTATAGCTTGTGTTAGATATAGAATAAGGTTACTGCTATGGTGGTCATAGACTTAGGGCTATGAGTAAGGTTGTCATATGGTTTTGAGATTTGAGATATACAGCAACATATAGTGTAACATTCAACATCGTTGCCTCCACAGTGAATTGCTAATTTTGTGATACTGCTGCTGCATTCTCTATATTCTACCCACTGCTCCACTTCATACTGCTGCTTTGTTCTGCCACATATCATTTAACTACCTCATGTTTTAAACTTAAAACAGGTCGGTGCCGACCCTAACAGCACAGGAAGATTAATAATGTCTCTAAGGACAGTAGGAAACAGGGGTCTTTGACCCTCACTTCACTAGACGCTGCGGGTGGCGAGTCATGCTGAGCGAGGTAGTTTTGATAAACCGCATCATTTTCATTATTAGCGTTGTTGATGTTGCCTATTTCATCTAATAAGGCTTCGGGTATAGGAGGGGGTGTTGCTCCGTCCATACCTGCTGATTCAGGTCTTTCGTAGATTTTCTCTTGACCGGTCCGCGCCGTCTCTCATAGGAAATAAACAGAGAATACCTATTATTAGAATAAGTTATTTTAATGTATAGCGTTTATCATAAAACATGTATAAAAGAAATAATATACTCANTGACCCTCACTTCACTAGACGCTGCAGGTGGCGAGTTGTGTTGAGCGAGGTACTTTTGATAAACCGCATTATTTTCATTATTAGCGTTGTTGATGTTGTCTATTTCATCTAATAAGGCTTCGGGTATAGGAGGGGGTGTTGCTCCGTCCATACCTGCTGATTCAGGTCTTTCGTAGATTTTCTCTTGACCGGTCCGCGCCGTCTCTCATAGGAAATAAACAGAGAATACCTATTATTAGAATAAGTTATTTTAATGTATAGCGTTTATCATAAAACATGTATAAAAGAAATAATATACTCACTCTATGGAAGTCCCGTGTAGTTTTCTTTTTTTATTCTTTTTCCAGTGGGGTACTTGTGTTTCTTTACCAAAGGAGGAAAACCCGTACGTGACTGCTCAGTGTAATAAAAATATCTGCGGCTGGTTTTTAACTTTTATTTAATGAGAAATATACAGCCTGTGAAGTTTTAGGATACCGCGGATTATCTTATTTTCTTAATTATGTCTATTTGATGTATGTCGTGGTGTTTTTCTTTTAACTCATATTTGTACTTATGCGCAGACAATACGCTCGACCCGGGATGACCTACCGGGGTGTAAATAACGGCTGTATCAGAAAAACCAAAACTTCAAACAAACAAAAAAAACATGTTATATACTGTAAGACAAAATGTCCAATTTGATGTGTGGCCCATAAAGTTGACCGGGATGACCTACGGGGATGTAAATAACAGGTGCATGAGAAAAACCCAAACTTCAAAAAAGAAAAAAAGGGGGGACATCCTCACTCCCTACCACTGTCACACGCACACAAGGCCAAACTGCTGCTGCAGGGTGGGGGGGGGGGGGGGGGTCAGCTTTCACAGACACACGGCCAAACTGCTGCTGCTAAGCGTTTATTGGAGGATAGCGTCAGACCCTCCTCCTCCTCCTCCTCTCATTCTTAGCTCCAACTTTCTCATTTTCACACAGTTTCTTTCAGACTCGCGCAACACAGGGATAAGCTCCAACATCGCTCTCACAATCTCCGAGTCCTTTGCAGAATCTACAAGTACAACATTTACACGCTCTGGACCGACCGGGACCTTTCTACAGTACCGCACCACAGGCAGACCCGGCGTACGCTCACGCTCCATCAGGTAACCGACCCGCTCAGCTTCGCGCTGAGCTCCATGCTCAGCACCGTCACCCTCATAGCACGGGGCTATTCGGACAAACCACTGAAACTTCATTTCACTCTCCCCCACTAGTCAAAATAAAATAAAAAAAATAATAATAATAAAAATAAGAAAATAATAATAAAAATAAAAAAAAATAATAATAAATAATATTTAAAAACCACCCCACAATAAACCCCCTCTCGCAACAACACTAGTCGTGACGTCACCTGGCTCCAACCCAACCACACCCCCCCAGTGAACTCTTGACCCGTAACCTTTTGACCTTTAGGTCATAAATCTTTTTGAAAGAAGTGGCATTATCCATCTCTCTTCTGACATGTTATGCATTTATAAAGCTTTTTCTTTCTAGATTGTATCAAATAACATTTCATTATTGCCATGGTAAAGACTCAAAGATGCAGAGGTATACAAGGCTCTCATCAAGGTCATGAAAGAGCAGAGAAAAGGCCATCAGATATTCAGAGTATTGTCACATTTTTGGAGATTGTGGTCATACTGAACTCTACCCTCATTTGCCACATGGATGGAAGTGTAATATTCATCACTGAATCAATTATTTCCCTAATTACGATGATGCTGCGGTTCAAATCAAGATATTTCATCTTTGATATCTAATAACAGCTCATTCATCATGAGAAAATTAACAGAGCTTAGAAAGATGAATGAGTTTATAATATTTTTCTGGTGAAGCTCATCATTGGGTACCAAAGACTAGAAAGACAGAGAGAAAAGGGTGTCATTACATCTGATAACTCAAGGATGGTGAACCTGATCCTTGGAGTGTCGGTGTGGGTGCGGTTTTTCGGGATGACCTCTCAATCAGCCAATAACAGTGGGTCCCCAGGACTGGAGTTGAGAGCCACTGTTTTATTATTGGCTGATTGAGAGGTCATCCCAAAAACCTGCACCCACAGCAGCCCTTCATGGAACAGGTTCCCAGCCAGTTGTAATTAATGCTCACTATGTAATAAGTTGGTGGACGAATGCAAAACTCCAAGCAACCAACATGGACCCTATACTAAATAATATTTTGTGAAGCTCTAGCACCCATTTTTCAGTATTTACCATTTTGCATTTTAACTAAGTAGAAACTCAAAACAGCATTAGTTGTAAAAGATTACAATAGATAATAGATTTTTATTGAGCAAAAAATTAACAAAATTTTTTCACACTTACGGATTCCAGATTCTGTTAAATATTAAACATCCAATCTTTGTTAAATATTCAAAATTTATCACACAATTAAATCAATAAATGTTCCTTGCAGCCTGCAGTCTTGGTTTAAAGCTTTGCTCAGGAAAGTCATTCCTGGTGTTTAATACCTCTGGGTCTTAGGATCTTATCAGATAGGTAAGGATTGTAAGCTAGCAGTGAATACAGCACAGAATTTTAATTGCTTGGGCTCTTGCACAACAGAAATGACTAGGCAAAAAATAAATAAGACAGAACGCCAGCAGATGAATTAACTTTCCAGCTCAATGCTCAGCTTTAATGCAAGGCATGAAGCTGGAATAGAAATGTGATATATGTATGTATGAAGTATTCCGTTTAGTTTTTGACACTCCAACCACACAAATGCCTTTCCTTGTTGTTCCTACTACGGTTGTAGAATTCACTGTACATTAAGGACTTCAAATCAACATTACATACTAACTGTGCAGCATATTGCTTCAAACTATACTAATAAATTAAACAGCATTATCTATTGGCCTGTCACTTAATTGTAACAGGTGTAATACACAATTGCACTATGTACACGAAAAGAGAACAGATAAGGAACTAAGCATCAACTAACCCATTCTCCCTCATTACAATGCTACTGTTCCCATGAGTAAGACAAGAGGTTTTATTTTACGATTTCTGCCAAAACACAAGTGGTATGGTTCATTAGGATAAAGAGGTCGCCCCCATAAACACAACCTTTCCGATTTTATTTCTCAGAACAGCAACCCTCCAATGTCATTTGGCCATTTTACCAATCTTCTTCGTTTTACTCTTTTCCCCCAGATATGTTTTGACACAGACGCCAATTAGAAAAGTGGGCCGTGTAGGATGCCGTGTGTGTGACTGAGGCACTGGGCTGAGCCACAGAGCAGCCAGCCGTTCTTTCTGCTGCTGGGACAGGGATGCGGGTCCCATGAGGGTGTAAGGAGGATGAAGAGCAATACTGTCACTAAAGCAGCAGTAGCAGAAAAGTGGGTTTTGTTACGAGGCATGCAGGTTAACACTGAATTCAGTCTTGTGAAGGGTGCTTGTCTTTCAAAATTCTCCATCTCTTTCTTTTTCCATATAAGCAGTCCTTTTTTCTGCTCCTTAGTCCGCTGGTAACTGATGGGGGGGGGGGGGGCAGTCATCACATTCGAGGGGAATATTTGGGGTTTTTTGGCACCTCGGTGAAGGATTTCAGCTCGTAAGGGATTCCCGTGTCTACCTCAATGGATTTGCGGGAGAATAGCAGCCGTATATTATCGTGCAAATAGATTTTCCCAGATTTGGAACTCTGGAATCTGAAAAAGGGAAGAAATTATTATTGAATATAATTACAATTCAAATTAAAAAGTACAAAATATATGCACTACATTAGTTAACACATAGCTGGCCTGAGTACATCAAGTGGGTTGTCTCTATGAAACGTTTAGTCTTGCAGTTGAAGAATGTATACAAGAATATCTGTCACTATCATCACATATCTGCTGTGGTTCTAACAGCTCTTATACAAAATGCAACATAAAACATACGCCAGTGCCTCCATCCATTTTAGTGATCAGAACTCTTCATACACTTTACAGATTTTCAATTTCAGACAAGTCTGCACGGACACACACATGCATTTACATGTATGTAACAGTTTTAGTACCTTGCAATAGTCTGTAGGGTTTGCAAACTACTACAATGCTTTTGATGCAGCTAATTCTAAGTTTATAATGGAATAATACAGATTTCTTGCATAAGCAGGACAGTCTGAAAACGTGACCTAGCGGCAGATGCGTTACAGTTGGCAACACTGACATTTCAATATTTTGAAATGTAAGCGTATCCTCATATATTACCTGAGGTGTATCAGGTAGCAGAGAATTTTCTTCCTATCCATCGCCGTTCCCTCTACATTAGCCACTTGTCCTTCTGCTTCCTCAACAGGGACCAGGAAGATGCGGTGGCGCAGAAAGGTCATGTGATTTACAGGCATGTCTCCAAAGTCATATGTCACCAGGAACATCTTCACCACTGTTTTGTTGGGGTTAAATAAGGTCTAGGACAGGGAGGGGAAAACAAAGGAAAAAAAAAACATACAGTGGTAAAAACGATACAATTTAGACCACCACCGTGGGCTAAAACATACAAAAAGAATAGAGACTAAGAAAAAAAAGAACATAATCATAATTAAGACTTACCACTTGGATTGTCCCTGCTTTGGGAATGCTGTAGCCCTTCTTTCCCAGAGCCTCTAGGTAGATCACTCCCTGGAACAACCATTGCAAACCATGATGTTCTCATCAGACATACGGATATTCAGCTTGATACATTACCAAGTATTTTTACGTTATACAAAACTGTAATGCTGTCAGTACAAGAAAAGTACAATTGAACACAAATACAGTTAATGATTAATTTGGGATAAACAAAATGATAAATCAGAATTTAAAACTTTCAATTATTATTTGTGGTACAGATATACAGGACGACTTTTGTTGCTTTTAATGAATGAATGAATGAATGAATGAATGAATGAATGAATAAGACTTCACCAGGGAGGCCGAATCTTACACTGAACTTTTACTGAACTTGTGGGGAAATTCTCTTTTCCCCTACCCCATCCTGCTCTCCATAACACAGACTTGGGGACCACATACTTGCATTATTACCTTGCAATAGTCTGTAGGGTTTGCAAAGGGAGGCCACCTACATGAGATGAGGCTGGAGGTTAAGGGCCTCGCTCAAGGGCCCACAGACATGTGACTATTCTGCCAAGGCTGGGCTCAAACTGGCGACCTTCCGATCACAGGCACAGAGGCTTAGCCCACTTACCCACATGCCACCATTGTAACACTTCATGGTAAGAGTGCAAGAGAATGTTATTACCAGGAAGGGGGATGGGGCGCTGTGCTCAGAGACGTCATAGTAGGTGACTTGGACAGGCAGGGTGGCATGCTGTGGGAAGTAGGATCCACTGGCTCCAATCTCGGCAGTGAAGCCCTCAATCTGACCCGATGGCGAGAAGCGGCCCTTCAGAATAGATTCCTGGGCAGACAGGTAGACACACAGGTGACACCCCACTAAGGGAACTGGGGAGGTAAAAATCCAGAGTGTGCGTAAAGACCAGCGTTTAGAGCCAGCGAGGAACACAGCGACAGGTAGGACTATTAGAGTACCTCAAAATTGCCCAGGAGGGAGCGGCTGATAGAGACAGAAGGCCAGCTGGAGCGAGAGGGGCCACTGATTTCTCGCCTGCGTCCACTGCGCAGCTGGCGTCTGTATTAATAGGAAAGACACATTTGGATGCAAGCAGTGAGAAAAGACAGTCTGCCTTAAAGCCCATTAACATAATTTAACCACCCCACCACTATGCCTCAAGTTTATTCGTAAAGACATTTAGGGGAACTAGATCGATGTATTTAATTGTATTGCATGGGTACGTATCTGATACTGTTATACTCCAGTCTGATGAGCTGCAAGTTCCTGTACAGGCATTCACGTACATGTTGAATCACATATGTAAATAATGTGTGTGTGTGTGTGTGTGTGTGTGTATATATTAATAAAAGCCCCTCACAGCAAATTGCCATCATAGCAACTATGCATTTAACCAAAAGTTCAGCTGTCTGGTATTTATTTCTTTGACTTGCAGTTGCCAGAGTGTTAAACAATTTTCAAAATCTGGTATGACACACTGCTTCACATATTTAGTTTTCTATTGAAAACATCTTTACAAAAACATGCTTTTACATTTAAACTGTTTTCCAGGGACACTGAGCAGCTAAAATTGATTTCAGGGCACACTTACGATTTTAAGCGAACGCTGCTTTTAAGTCTTGATCCCACTCTGGAACAGCTGCTTGAAGTCTGTAACAGACATGAACATTACAGTTTTGAATTTTGTACAACATTGCAGATATATAATTTGATGCATTGACAGTAACATTTTAAATATCGGGTATAAAAAGAGAACCCCAGAGACGCTACGTTTCCGAAGTAAAATTGGGGAGGGGCACACCACTCTGTGAAAGACCACATGAACAAATAGTACAACAATTCAAGAATAACATTTCTCAACATAATATTGCAAAGAATTTGGGGATTCCACAGTATGTAATATCATCTGCATCTTTTAGAGAATCTGGAGAAATCTCTGTACGCAAGGGACAAGGCTGAAAACCAACATTGGACAGACTTGATCTTTGGGTCCTCAGGCATCACTGCATTAAAAACAGACATGATTCTAGAGTCAAAATCACTGCACGGGCTCAGGAACACTTCAGAATCCATTGCTTGTGAAGACAGTTTGTTGCTCCATCCATAAATACAATTTAAAACTCTCCCATATAAAGGAAGAAACCATATATAAACACGATCCAGAAAAACACCACCGCCTTCCCTGGGCCATTGATGTGGACTGAGCAAAATAGAAGAGTGTTCTGTGGTGCAATGCATCAAAATTTGAAAATCTTTTGGGAAAGCATGGATGCAGCAACCTCCAAGCTAAAGAGGAGCTGGACCATCCAGCTTGTTATCAGCAGACAGCTCAAAAGCCAGCATCCATGGTGATATGAGGGCGCATGTGTGTCTATGGGTTGGGTAGGGTTGTGCGATATGACCAAAATCTCATATCCCGATAAAAGCCATCTCATATCCTGATAACGAAATATATCACGGCTGCACGTATTTATGGATTTTTTTCTCTACAGACCAGCTGTGGTAGGAATTGGACAAAAATCGGCAAACAAAAGCAGTTAAGTCACGAATGTATCGTGATCCGTGAATAGATTACCACTTAAACAAGACAGCTGGACTATTGAAGGTGAAGTGCACACACAAACATTAAAATATTTATTAAAATTCACCCATGAAGAAATTTGGAAAATCAAGTGGGGTTGCTTGCTTTTGTTGAAGGATATTACAGTCAGAAAACTGAATATAAAGCTAACTTTACCATGGTGTCATAGGTAAGGTTTAGACCCGAAACCACTTTGGGGTATATATACCTCCCTGCTATTCTCGCTTGGTCATGTATGTGGAGATATGTGGATCTATGCTGAAATATTCCGGAAAGCGGATTCGAATTTAAACCATAACTCCAACACTGCGGTAAAATTAGCTTTATATGTAGTTTTCCGGCTGTAATATTTTTCAATAACTGGGAAGGCACCATTAATGCTGAATGACATACACAGGTTTTAGAGCAACATATACTGTCATCTAGATGACGTCTTTTTTCAGGGAAGGTCTGGCTAATTTCAGCAAGACAATGCCAACCCGCATTCTGCACGTATGACAATAGCACAGCTCAGAAGTAAATGAGTCTGGGCACTAAACTTGCCTGTCTGCATTCCAGTCTTGTCACCCACTGAAAATATTTTGTAACATTATGAAACAAAAGATACAAGAACGGAGACCCTGAACTGCTGAGCAGCTGAAATCCTATATCAAGCAAGAATGGGACAACATTTCACTTTCAGAACTCCAGCATCTGGTCTCCTCAGTTCACAAACACTTACAGTGTTGTCAAATGAGGTGATGCAACACAGTGGAAAACATGCCTCTGTCCCAACATTTTTGAAATGTATTGCTGGTTTCTCAGTTTCAAAATTTGCAATGCTGCATTTATACTACAATTAAATATAGGGTTTAAATTATTTGCCAATCACTGCATTCTCTTCTATATTTTATACAACATCCCAGGTTTTTTGGAAATAAAATTGTAAATGAATACAACGGTTCAACCAGTGTTTCTGAGCAAGTGGGTCGTAAGCTGATTTTCAGTGGGTTGGTGGGGGAAAAAAAACACAAACAAGCAAACCCCCCCCCCCCCCCCAACACAAATTCTGGGGGGAGGAGTCAGATGACAAGTCCACTCATTCACTTCACCTAAGCTTTACCAATAACATTCAAGCCAAAATCATTTATCTAGGCTTTACCCACCTCATACCCATTTTGCTTCCTTGTTTTCTAGGCAACAAAAGCTGAAACACCTGTCTATCATGTCTGTTCCTCACCACCATTATAGAATCCCTATTCCTTCCTCCCATTCCCACATAATGAGGTTACATTAGTAAACACAGCTCTCACCTTGGGCTGCTCCTGAGTGGAGGGCAGCAGGTGGTTCCAAAAGGGCGCAGCCTTGGCATCAGTACTGCGGAAGGCTCCAAGGCACAAGCCGGGGGCCTGCAGGCCGCGACGGCTTCTCTTGGAGGTAGACGGGCCTTCGTCTTCAGAGCAGGACTCGCCTGTATCACTGGAAGACAGAAGCTTTTTCCTAGCGGAGAACGTACTAGGACTAGACAGGCTGGAAGAAGGTATTGGTAGGGATACAGGGGTTTTCTCTGAGGATGCCAGGCCATTGGCGTGGACAGCCTGGAAACCACTGGACTTCAGGGGACTTGATTCTCCGTTAGCCTGCATATCCCTAAGCTCAAAGTGTCTTTGGAGGTCTGAGGTAATAGATATTGCTGGAACTCCGAATGCCTGGTCAGTGAGCTCTGCATTGCTGGGCAATTGCTGTCCTGCAGAGCCTCCCTTGCTACAGCCTTCAGTGCTCAGGTCACCTAGGGTGCAGTCAGGCACGGCACATACTGATTGTGCTGTGATCCTGGTCAGGAAAGTTTGGGAAACAGGGCTTCGGAGTTGGACAGAATCTACTGCCAGGAGCTCGTTTCCGGAGGAGTGCGTGGTCTGTGCATTTGGGACAAGCCCATTTTGATTGTGCTGTGTTGGATGTTTTAAGGGGGTGGAAGGCAAGGCGGGCTGGGAGCAGGCTTGGGTGGGCACACCATCTGTGTGCTCAATCAAGTGTGTTGCAGTGCAGGAGAAATGCTGCCCGCACAATATTTCACCCTCTAGAACCTCCACGGGAGATTCATACGTGGACTTGGCTTCAGTATATTCCCCTTCCAGGTGAGGACGCCTACAGCTCTGCAGTGGCCCTTCCAGTCCCCTCTTCATTCCAGGCCTCAATATCCTCTGCTCTTCAGAGACATCACTGAATCGCCCCATCTGGGAGAAGATTGAAAGCTGATAGACCTTTTGCAATTTGATTTCCTCATCCCCAAAGGGTCTGGTCAGCGTGTGTCTAGTCCCAGAGCCAACCACAACCCCATTAGAGGAAGGCAAGTCCCCTTCTAGGTCTGGAAGTTCCACCGGGGCCTCTTTCCGTGCAATCTCCACATGTATGTGTCGCATTTTTCCTTCAGTTCTAGTGTTTCAGGTATTCAATCAAGTAAAAAATATATATACTATTGAAAGTGCAAAAGGCTTAGATAGAGGTTCTCCTGCTTAGGAGGACCTGTCAACGGTTAGCCTGCTTTCGACTCAATAAGCATAGCGGCACACCATCTGCAACAAAAAGAAAATCTGATTTAAAAAGGAGTGCAAACAAGTTAGACAATACTGCATACTCATCAGTTTCACTTGGCTTTTGGAATGTTTTTCCCCCTCAAGCAAAGTATCATTAACTGGAATTACTTACAGTTGCATACATGTATGAGATTAATTATGGGGTGTATAGAATAAAACAATTACAATTCAAAGATCAGGACAGCAGAACTGGTCTGCTGCTCTGTTTCTTGCCTGGCTCTGCTGCTTCGCTGCTTCTAGCAAAGGAATCCATCCATTCGTGAAGCTGCCCTCCTGAACCAGCAATACCATGCCCAGACAGGAAGCACAAGATTCTCAGTGCAGACACAGGACACGCCTGACGGAGGGGGCAGATTCAATGCATACCGAGATCGACAAATTCATCACGACGTGACAAGAAGCAGCCTGAGTTCCTTCTATCTTTCACTTTTCCAGAGATCAAAAAATACGACCAAAGAAATAGCTTTTTAGAAGCAGCCTTTGTTTGAAAAGTTAAATTAAATGTTTAAGTAGTTGTGTTTTACTTTATAAAGACCATATATATACACAAATTGACTTTAAAGAAAAACAAACCTTTAAAATACAGAACCACTAAATATGATTAAATAAGGGCATTTTTTTGGACACAGAGGAAGGAGGACATACAGTTTGTCAGAGATGTTTAAATACAGGGCAGTCAGAAGGGGAACTCACTCAATGTCAGTGAGGTGAAAGGTCACTGGGGGGAACTGCAACTCTTCTCAAGGTCCTCCTGGGTATGGAGAGAACCCAGACATGCCCCTCACGGGCACCTGGATGTGATACACCATCCACTGGCTTCATTGTACTATCAGCATTCCTACAGGATTGCCTGATGGAAAGAGGGAGGGGTGGGCAATTACAGCTATCACATGTAGGGGAGGATAGATGTTAGTGTCACATGTCTTGCATCTTTAATTCATGCAATGTGTCATTAAATATCAAAATGTGATAAAAGCAAGACTTTGTTATATCCATACAACCTACGAAAAGGTTCATCTGCAGTCATTAAATTCTACATTGAATCAAGCCGCATGACACTCTCTTTACAACTTTAGTACAACAAACATGACAGCCAAAAGCAGTGTCAGATGCAAAACAAACATGACAATGTTGGCTACATTCAGAACTGTAACTTGCACCTTACATGGGAAATCACAATGATTTTAAGGGTTACAAAAAAAAAAGCTCCCATTGCTGATCTCAGATTACAAAGATATTCACTGAGTGGTGAGCTACATGTTACATTTATGACATCATTTTGACATTTAATCTGCTGATGTTTAACACCTCTTCTCGTGTGCTGAAGAGTTCAGGAGCGGTTTCATATCTCTGTTCTGGGCCACAGAGCTTACTGCAGCAGAGTGGCTCCTCTTGCCTTTGGATTTGACCCAGACAGCGAGGAAAGTAAAGACTATTACACTCAACAACCTCTTCATCCCTCTCCCCGCATGAAAACAGCCCAAGTCCAAACTAAAACATATTATATACCAAGATGGCGGACAGATTTCAAATGAAGGCATCTCCACACTAATCCCCAATTGCTCCCAGAAAACAATAGGATTTCAGTACTAATGAGATTCAGCACAGCCTTTGTTTACAGTATCAATCTCACTTTGAAAACAGTTTTCCAGTGAGATTCCTCCCTAAACATCTAAGTGAGGCTGCAATGCAGTGGCTTACTCAGCACGTATGTGCAGCCAAATAACCTTAAGGACGGAGATTAATTAATTAGACTGAAGGGAAGTCAGATGCATTCTGAAACCAAGAGAAAATTCCTGCATTTAAGACTAGCTGTAAGGTTTAGATGATCACATATATTTATTTAAAGAATATACACTAAAAGAAACTGCGAGAACTGGGGTATAGATGCTCGATAATGTCTATAATTGAACAATCAAATATGAAATGGAACAAGAAGCACATAACTGTGAGACAAGATGCACATCCATGCTAATAACACATACAGTACTAGTGAGTAAATTTGCCCTGGACTGACTATTGAGTTATGGTTCTCGGAAGTGCACAAGCCTTGGCTGTTCAACTCAAAGCTAAAGCACAAACACTGCTAAAGAAAAACACTTTCACACATGTGACACTAACATATTCAAATGGACTACTGACTTTTTTTCCAGTCCTCTGCAATCAATAATTGATATAAAAAAAAAGCAAAAATATGCACTTTTATTAATTACTACTTGCCATCTGCCTCAGCCCTCTACTAATAGGTTTATATAGGAATCAGACATAAACCAATGACACTGCTGCCATACTATAAATAGGGGACTCTACAGGGGACATACAGCAATCAGCAGTCTGCAGGGAAGCCAAGGAGAGCACTGGTGGCAGCCTTTGACGTCATGTAACCAGACTCCTGGCATTAAAAATGTGCGATGGCTCTGTTGCCAGGCATTGACTATTACAGTTCTAAGTACAAAGAAAATGGGTGTTCTTAGCTCGTAAAGAGCTGAATGTTACTTTTACTGATTCTATCTTTAGCAGTAAGAGGCTCACAAATAACACCCATACACAGATCACTACTCAGATAAATGCTGACAACCATACTTTTACACAAATACACTTAATTATGCTCATATACACTAAATCAGTAGAACTACTAGTTAAATATCTTTATTATAACAGAAGTCAATTCAAATTATGGTTTATAGTAGTTCTGGGCAGTATACTGGTTTTAATTGTTCGCTGCTGGAAGCACTATGGATCGCTGTGCAGAGTGTGTTGAGGGGGGATCCCCGTAAATTGTGCATTCCCTTCTTACTAATAGTTTTAACTTTATAACACAACAATCCTCCATATACAATACAATACAATAGAATTCTTTGTCATTATGCATACACATAACAGAATTTTTGTTGGTAGGACTCGGCTTCAAGGCAAAAACTTAATACACAATACACTATAAATAATAAACAGATA